TAATCATAGTACAATCAGTGATTGTCTATGTCGAGCAATGATCATCATTATTGCAAATTCTCATCATATGCTCGTTTGTATTTTGTGGCATTTTCTAATTCTTTTTTTAATGGTTTATATATATATATATATACAGTGTATTATTTGTTGAAGAGAATTCAAGATAACTTGTTGACTAAAGAGAATAATCAAGGATTTGAGCTCCTGTTGTGTAAATTCTCTATTTACTCCTTGAGGTAATGTCTATCAATACAACCAAATGTAGGAGTATATGGTCTACTTAATCGGTTTAACACTCGGAAATTTCCTTTGGCAATATTGCCTCTCGTTATGTCCCACGAGAAAGTAGTTCGAAACGAACAAGCGAACCAAATCAATTAAAGAACTCGAAGTCTAAAAATAGGTTAAAGAAAAGAAAAAAAGCACGCTCTTCTTTCCCATTAGTCTATTGAGAGAGGTATAGAAAAAAATTTCCTTCTAATATACAAGAATATATATATATATATATAAGAGCAACAGCTGCTGTTTGCATCCTACTACAAAACTATTCTTCAACAACAATGAACAGGATACAGATCATTAGAAGTGGATATAGAGAATGACGATTGGATCATATCCGTATATGATATATGCACCAGAGGCGAACTAAAGGAGATGATGCGTGATGGAATAAGAAAAGCAAAAAATCATTTGTCATTTGTAATAAAGATCATCTCTTTTTTTTCACATCAATATATGTGATTAGATGAGATAGATCGAATATTACCCTTAAGCCATTCGAAAGGACAATGACAACCTTTTTTTTTCTTCTTCTAATGTTCACTAACATTCTCATATCTAACAAATCAATTTATCTAAAAGAACAAAAAAGATAAGAAAAAAAAATTAATCGATTAATGGATATTCTTCAATAAAATATTATTTCTTCAAAAAAACAAAACAAAAAAAAAACAAAAAGATTATTAATTCTTTGATTATTGCTCAAAAAACAAATCAAATCAATCAAAATAAATTAATAAAATGTAAAGACAAAAAACATATATCAACAATAAAAAGAAAGAATTTTGATCGATTGATTTTTATAGCATAACTGATGATTGAAGTTAAACTTGTATCGTATATTGACTGATGACAATAAACATCAAAGAAACAAGTCAATGTTATAGAAATCAAAGGAAATAACGAGAAATATTTTTCTCTTCTAATATTTACTATTTGGCCTCTTAGAAAATAAATAACTTTATAAGAATTTGTTCAAGAGAAATATTTTATAAAATAGAAATTCTCTCAAAGATTAAACAAATATTTTTATTAATTATCATATATGAAAAAAAAACAAAAGAATAGTTATGAAATGCCAGGATATCTATATATTGTATATGAACTAGTTTTTAAAGAAAATCATCTACCGATAACCTACAAATATTCATTACTTTCTAATTTAAGATTTCATTTTCTTATATAATATTTGCATGCGTAATTAATTAACTTCGAATCCTTGTTGAAAACAAAAATCTTATTGTGAAAGAACTCGAACAAGACATTTCATTTTACATAGAAAGGATTCAACAAAACTATGATTTAAATATCAAAATTTATGTTGACATATATTTCCATGTTTTTTTTTAATTCTGTATATTAGTGACATCTATTAATTAATAAAAAACTAATATTGAATTGATTAGCAAAAAATATTGTATTAATGTTTTGAATTTTTTTAGGTACATAATTAATATGATAAATTTAATAAAATAAAAAGATGAAGGTGAAATTTAAAAAGCTGATTGGTAAAAATGAAATAGCAAATTAATGATGGACATCATATTTTATTTGAACTATTCATATATTGTGCTCTTTTCTCTTTCTATTGTTCGTCGTAGATTTATTTGTGACCTTGTATTATTGACAGGGTGTTATTGACTATTATATTTGTGAAAAACAAAAATCCGATGGCTTCAATTTCTGCTGATAAATTACGTCGAGAAATTCAAATAATTTTAAAAGATGCTGATTTAAATACATTATCATCAAAAAAAGTTCGACAAATGCTTGAAGCTGTATTTAATTGTGATTTTACTGAACGTAAAAAAGAAATTGATGATATACTTATGGCTGAAATAACAACACGTGATGCTATGCCAATACCAACAAATGTTGAACAAAATTCTATGAATGATGATATACAAAGATTGGATGATAATTCACAAACAAAAACTATGCAAATACAATCAAATAATGATAATAATCAACAAACAAATAAATCAGATGAAGAATTAGCTATGGAAATTCATCAACAAGAAAATCGTCCAAGTCTTCGTCGAACAGTTGTAAATTCATTTTTTTTTTTTGAATTTTTTTTTTTCCTAAAATTGAAAATTGTTTTTCTTAAGAGTGCTACAAGTACAACAACAATATATAAAAAACCAACAACACCATCACTTAAAGTTGAACGACGACGAACATGTTATAATAAAGAATTAGATTTAAGTGATCAATTAGCTGCTGTTGTTGGTGGACATCAAGTAAATTATTTTATTAGTTTTTCTTTTTTTTACTTTTTTTTCTTTTTTAGATGCCTCGATCCGAAGTTGTTAAACGTATGTGGGTTTATTTTAAAGAACATAATTTATTGGTAAAATTAATTTTTCTCTTTAAATTAAATATAAAATATATTCTTTTGATTTTTTTTTTAAATAGGATCCAATTAATAAACAATATGTTAATTGTGATGAAACACTTGCTAAATTATTTGGTATGTTTATTAAATATTGAAAATAAAAATGAATTTAATTTTAATTACAAAAATAGGTCGACGACGTGTACGTGCATTTGGTATGTTAAAAGGTCTTTCGAGACATATGAGTGATCCAGATAAACAAGAATAATTCGATGTTTTTTCTTTTCTTTTCTTTTTTTGTCTGTCTTACCATTTTATTCTGTATGTGTGTTTGTTACTGTGATAGAGATGATCTCTTTGATTAGATTAGCAAAAAAAACAAACAAAGTTTCATCTTTTTCTTTGGATTTTCTTTCGAGTTGATAATCATTTCAATTTTCTAACATTCTTCTTTTTGTTTTTTGGTATTACCAAAATATTTCATTGGTTTAGTTCTTTTTTTAGACTTTCTTTATTTGTAGTTTCACATATAATATGTGTGTTTATTTGTATATCTATATATATATACATTAACATGTTTGATTATTCTCTTTTGTTTTTGTAGATTTTACATATAGGTAAAGGAATAACTAATGGAAGATAAAACATTCGGTTCCCTTTTTTTTTTTTTGTGATTTTATTTGTTGTGTTTTAGATAGCTCGTAGTTTTAGTAGATATTTCACGTAGAATTTTATGCTAAAGAAAAAATGGAATAAATTTTAATATTATTCTCAGATAAGATTCTTAATGATATACACTGATGAAAAAAAGTTATATACTCGCTATTACTTTCAGAAATATTAGTATCAATTATTGACTGATTAGAAAATCTTGGGAGATGTTTCGATCTTATTTGATAATAGTCTAGAATGGTTGGGTTTTCCTATCTTTCATTTTTGAGATATCGAAATTTTACTGATCTTTTCAACAAATGCCTGTAGGCCTTCTTATCAGATCATGTGGGAAATTGACTTAAAACTTTACATAAATAAAGTTCTTAATTAGATTAGTTGATTGTGCAAATAGAATTTCGAATATTCGATATCTCAAAATTGGAGATCCTGCACGATCGACTTAATCTCATTGATAAGTTTATTCATACAAAGTTTAAAGTCATCACCTGAAACGATGACAGCTTTATGTTGAAAAATCCTGCAAAATTTCGAGAACGAAGGTACGAAAAGCTAATTCATTCTAGAATTTTCTATTATTCTTTAGTGTTCATCAAATGAATATTGTCGCGGTTGAAAAGATGTTTATTTTAGGTTTACATTTTTGATAAAAAAAAAAAATGTCTTTCCTTTCTTATCTTGTCATGACATTAAAATATCGCAACTTGTAAGTTATCGGAGTTCTGATCGTTGCAGATAGTGACAAGTAGAAACAGTAGCGAAGAAGTTTTTTTTTTCTGACAAAAAAATAAAGAATATATTGAATGAAAACCAAGGAGAACTTTTTATTCTTTGAGTTTGCTGATAAATGTCAAGTCTTTGTATAGAAGAAAAATGATATTACATAGAATAGTTATGTACATTTGTTAAAAAATTGATTCAAAATGATTACATCAATACTTTCTGACAATCAAAAAAAAAGAAAAAATTTCTTATCTTTTAAACGAAAGCCTAATTTACAAATAAAACATTTGATAATTAATCTAACATGTATTTTTGTTATGCTTCACTAAGCATATCTTTTTCATCGTTTGGTTTACATACAAATACGTTTCATTATTCAAATGAATAATAGACTGTAGTCATGCGAGTTACAGCTTCTGCTCAGAAAGAATTCTTCAAAGATTTATCCACTCATCGTTAGTACACTAAAAACAATATTATTTAAGCATCATCAATTTACTTCTAGTGAGAGATGTAAGTCAATTAGCTGTGCCGCCTCCGCTAATGAATCCATTGGCTTATACTTATAACCTTGAGTTATCTCATTCTAATAAAAAATTAAAAATAACTTTACTTTGTCAATGAGAACAGAAGCAAGTCTATCTAGAAGAGTAATAAAGAGTAACAGCCTTTTTAGATATTCTTGAAAGATAATATATCCTAAGGCGAGAGACAAATCATAATGTTACGACGTAATAGCAGAAAGAAAAAAGAGAAATATCTGAGAAGAATCTATGCAAAAAGATGAAGTAAAAAGAAATAGATGTCACCACTAATGACCTTCAAACATTTTACAGATCAAACAGTTTCATATAAACAAAATATTTTATTGTTTACTGAAAAAAGAAAACAACATAGACACCACTTTCCAAAAAGAACCTAATCTCTTGATAACTAAATATTTTAATTATATAAACAAAAATAATTACATTCTTTATAGTTTTAGACCATGACGAAACGTCTTCTATTTTTTATTTTTCTAAGTTTAACAATCTTAATTTGTAAGATAAACTCTCATGGTCATGGACATGGTCATAGTCATGGACATGGTGATAATCATGGGCATGGTCATAGTCATGATCATGGTCATAGTCATGATCATGGACATGCTCATGATCACGGTGATGGTCATGGTCATTCCCATGAAGAACCACCTTCATATAAATATTCTGGAGAAGCAAATGAATATCATGAACATTCTGATTCTGATCATGAAGAAACAGTGACTTATGCTCCACCACATTATAATGAAGGAGTTGATGATGATGATGATGAAGATAATGATTATGAAGCAGTTGCACCATTTTCTGTTATGTCTTGGGCAATTTTATCAACAGTTGGAATAAGTTTAGCACCTGTTGTTATTCTATTTTTTATACCTGTTAGTAATTCTCCAAAACATCAATCATGTTTAAAAATTCTATTAAGTTTTGCATCGGGAGGTTTATTAGGTGATGCATTTTTACATTTAATTCCTCATGCAATGTCAGCTTATGGTAATAATCATGATCATGAACATGGACATTCTCATTCTCATGATCATAGTCATTCAGCTGATATTCGTGTTGGTATATATATTCTTTTGGGAATATTTCTTTTTCTTATTACTGAAAAATTTGTTCGACATATAAAAGGTATGTGGATTTTTTTATGAAGTCTTTTTCTTTGTTTTCTTTTTAAAACGATTTGTTTTTTAAGGTCATGGACATTCTCATGGACATACTCATGAAGAAGCTAAACCTCTTATACCAGAGCATGTTGATGATGATGATCATGACCATGATGATGATCATGATCATGATGATGATGACAATGATAAGAAGAAAGAAAAAAAATCACCAAAAAAAGAAAAAAAATCACTGAAAAAAGAAAAAACAAAGGCACAACCAGGTTTTATTTTATTGAAAATATTTTATTTTAATAATAATTTTCATTTTTTGTTTTGTTTTATATAATTAGTAGTAGTAGCTAGTGAAATGAAAATATCTGGTTATTTAAATTTAATTGCTGATGCTCTTCATAATTTTACTGATGGTTTAGCAATTGGTTCATCATATTCACTTGGACGAGCACTTGGTAAGAGAAAAATAACAACAAAACTACATATCTATTTTATTTTAATTAAGGTGCAATAACAACATTTGCAATATTTCTTCATGAAATTCCACATGAAATTGGTGATTATGCTATTTTAATTCAAAATGGATGTAGTCGAAAAAAAGTTTGTATTCATTTTGTTTTTTTTTTTTTTTATAAAACTTAGAAAAATTTTTTAGGCAATGCTTTTACAATTAACAACAGCTATTGGCGCTTTACTTGGTTGTTTAATTGGTCTTCTATTTCATTCAGCTGGTGCACAAATATGGGCAGCACAAACATTTCTTCCGATAACAGCTGGTGGTTTTATTTATATAGCAACTGTTAGTGTTATACCAGAATTATTAGAAAAAAATACTGGATTTAAACAATCATTATTAGAAATGCTTGCTCTAATTGTTGGTGTTTCTTTTATGGTTTTTGTTTCAATTTTCGAGTGAAAAATGGACAGAAGAAGAGAAATTTACGAATCTACAATCTTTTTTTTTTCATTTATTGTTGCGTTATTCATATTTATCAAGGTTTAATAAATAATAGTTAGGGTCATATACATAAACATTTGTATGAGAATATAAATGACGGAATTTTTGCATATTATCCATAGGATTTTTAATCAGAAATAGATTTTATTTTAGTTTAGTTTATTCAAAGGTATCGAATATTTCAATGGGTTTTTGTTTTCTAATACGTATTTGTATATGCTATGGGATGCACAACTCGACTATTTACAAAGAAAAACTTATTTTATACATTTACCTTTTGTTTTATAACAAAAGACAAAATTTGACTTTACCTCCAGATAAAGCATATCAAAGAACACCTTCAATATGTCATTGTGTTTCATTAGATTCGAATATAATTCGAGATGTGAGACCATTTTTTGAAGTATCTAATGATGCCATAATTCTTTTTGAATACATAATTCTTTAATTTATGTCTCCTGTCGATTATCACCATAAACATGTTCTAGTGAAAGGTATATTTCAGTAGTAAATAGAAGTTTCTTTAATCGATAAGATAAAAATAAGGGAATTGATTGTTTACCAAAAAATGATGATGTTCGCATTGTTGAAAACATATTTTTTTCAGTGCATCTTCTGATATATATTGTTTATTAATAAAACGTATTAGCTGATGTAATGATGACTTGCAAAATAGTTATAATTCATTACGAATGATTAAACCATTATATATGTATATACAGGATAACCTAGAAGTCAGCTTGTATATAATACTCTGCATTACATCGGTTGATTTGCTTTTTGATAGAATAAGAGTAGGCATCAATTAATAAACTTCTGCTAACCATCTCAATCATATAATGAGAAAAATGTTTATTTATTTATCAATATAATAGAGCAATTATTCATCTATAAAAAAAGAAAAGAGATGTATTCTGCACAGCTGTATGATAATTGATAGAAATTATACGAGATTAGCATCAGAGATAGACAGCAATACTACAATCGGTATTAATTCTATATTATTCATACTTAGATTTACAACTATTATGTTGAAAATTGTCTGAAATATTTTGTTAACAAAATATGAAAATAAACAGAGACATTAGATATAAAAAGTGCGAAATTGCTTGATGGTCATTGTTAACTTGATACTCATTCAATGCTATTAATTATTTAGTAGAAGAAGGCATCAATATAATGTCACATCCGTCATATTTGCTAGATCTAACATTATGTGATCTTTTATTAAATAATTATATCGAATGTAGTTTAAGTAATTGAAAGAATCATGACAACTATTTGGAATCTTCAATAAAATAAAACAAAAATATCTTTTTACTTTAATCTTAATAGAATTTTTAATTAATCCTATGTACAATTTGAATTGTTTATTGCATAGATTTGGAAGTCGAAATCTGCAAGGTGTTTTATCTTTTCCTATGAAAAATTTTTTTTCTTAATATTAAGCCTACTCTTACCTAAAATTGTCTTATTCTCACTGAATCCTATTCAATATCCTATACTACATTATTTTACATTCATATTATCGTAATTCTGTCATAATATGCACATTACTTCTATTTTGTTGTCACAGATTTACTCCATATTATCGTCCAGATGACGATAAATTTATGAAGTATTATTTTCGAATTGTGTAAAGTTCCATAAAAAAAATGCAATAGAATTGTATTTATGAATGTCTAATGACCTATTCGAAGATCTAAGGATGGATAAGTTCAAAGAAATGGTTTGATTTCATAAAGATCAAATATTTATTTCAATATTTAATCCAATATCGCAGCTGAGAAAATGGCCACGTCCGAAGACTGAATTGAGCTTCCTAGAGTTTGTTGTTATTATATCTAGAGATTCGCGAGACCCACCTGGGTTAGAGAAAACTATTTGAGAATTTATTTCCATAGAATGTTAAATACTCGTATTTTGATAAACTCAGTCAGCGAACATCACTTTTTTTAATCAATATGAATTTATAACATAATTATCTAAAAATCATAGAAATTCTAACTAAAATTTTTACTAACAATTCGAAAAACTTTTTTTTTTGTAATCCCAATCCTGAGACCGAGACTAAAACTGCCTCCCTATATCTCTAATTGTACTACATACAATGTATCTGTACTTCGAAAAATAAAATATTCGTCTAGCTGAAGTAAATAATCGTCCTATCGAAAGACAAAATTTCCTTACTATCATTTTGAAAATTCTGGTTTGTTTTGTATGATCATGTAACTGTCTCATTCGATTCGTTTGTTTTTTGGTTGATGTTTTGCACATTTTTTTTTTCTTAACAGTTTACATTTTGACATGCTTAAGAAAGAAAATAGAATCAAAGATTTTATTTACCTTTTTGAAAATGAAAGAGAACGAAGTTTTTTTTATTTTTTAAATTTATTTTTTTGTTAATCGAATGTTACGACGTCGTCGATTTCTTTATCTTTTAAGTCTAATTATAATATGCTTTGTCTTTTTTCATATTATTTTTTTATTGTTAAAAAAGACTAAACTAAAATCAAAATCTGTTGATTATTGTCTTAAGAAAAATCTAAAAATAAATGAAAAGCTTTATTCAAATATAGTTTATATTCCAAAATTAAATATTATTTATTGTGATATACCAAAAGCTGCATCAACAAATCTTCGACGTCTTATTTATGGATATTTAAATCAATCAAATAATTTATTAAATCTTAATAGAAAAACAATTTGGATTGATAATAAAAATTTTTTTAATCAATTTTATTTAAATGAAAATTTTCAATTTTTATTTAAAAATAAAACGAAAAATTTATTTAAATTTCTTCTTGTTCGTCATCCATTTCGACGTATTTATTCAGTTTATTATGATAAATTTGTTAATAATCATATTGATGATACAATATTTGGTTGGAAACAATTAGAAGAAGATATTTTATTACAGATGAATATAAATCAAACATTATTAACAATAAGACGATATGATATACGTTTAGATTTTCGTACATTTATTTTATATATTATTGATTCTATAAGAAAAAAACAATTAATTAATAGTCATTGGGAACAAATTGTTCAACGGTGTGATATTTGTTTAATTAATTATGATTGGATTGGAAAAGTTGAAAATTTAGATTATGATGGAAAATTTTTAACAAATAAATTAAATAAAAATTCAGATAAAATTCATTTAGAATTTCCTTCGAAAGAATTTGATAAAAAAGAAAAAAATCAAAATTTATTAAATGATTTTCAATTATTTGAATTTTTTCGAAATACTATTCAAAATGATAATCATTTTCAAGTTTTAATCGATTATTATAAACCTGATTTTCAAATATTTAATTATACAATACCAAATTTATTAAATTAGAAGATTTTTTTCAACAATCTTGATCACACAAACAACATTAGATTTTCATTGATCTATTCGGATTTTATTTTGTATTTTTATTTTTTGTAAATAAAAAACATTTCGAATCATTCCATTAGAATACAAAATAAATCAAATACTATTGATTGCCTATCACAACATTACAATCAGTAGCACGATGTGCTAATGACTTGACTCTTATACTAATCGGTAACCTAGAAAAGAAATTTTCTGAAAATACCAGAGGGTTCGAACTGTGTACAACAACACTACTAAAACATCTGGAGGAACTCTCCGATGATTTGATACTACCGGTCAATCTGTCAAAAACTAAGGCCGTACTGATCCATAACATCGTATCATATACAGATCCGATAAGGTAAAAGACATTAGTACCCGTAGAAACAATCTTTCTAGCATACTCCCTTCCACATTACTTGTGGTTTTTTTCTACATGGTTCTTCTTCATCAAAAAACAGAAAGAATATCTTGAACATAGACTACTGTTTGGATATTCAAAGCGTTTACAAGTTACACCGATAGGATGATTTAATTACTTTAGTAGTTGCTAGAGAATAATCGATTCGTGATTATTTATTTGTATACTGGCCTTACAACTTTGAAGCACTAACATTCCAGCAGGATTAGGACACATACTCAGTGATTACTTCTGATGATAATATATGGCTCAAGACAATGGGCTTTCAAAAGAACAATATATTTCCTTCATAGACTAATAAAACAAGCAAAACACTGTATGATTAACTAGATAGAATTTGATAATGTTCACATCAAACAATATGACTATTATAGAAAAACTACAAATATAATAAACACATTTGTATTAAAATTCATACCTCTATAATAAAGCATGATTTCTGTCTTTATAATGGGTGGCTCATAAAAAATGAAACATTTTGATTTTCTTTTTTCTTTTTTTTTGAAAACAATAACACAGTTTACAGACACCATTATCAGCTCATACGATAGAGAATTCTTTTTTCTCTACAACACCGTCGACTTGATTCTTCAAAAAAGTTTCTCGTATCGCAGAAAAATCGAAAAGATTGACAGCTACTCACCTATTGAATTGTGACTGTCAGAAAACAAAATAACTCTTTAAAATATGTTTAAATAACAGTTTTTTGAAAGAACAATTTTTCAAACAAAAATTACAAAACAATGCAAAATATTCTTTTTGGCAGTCATATGTCATCGTCTATTTCCAATTCGAAATAGTCTAAAGATTTTCCTTGTTCAGTTTGAATGATACACGATTTTGTTCAGAATTAAATTCTGCATCTGATGATATAATGATAAACCGTTTTCAAAGAGCACGTTAACTTTTGAAAACAGAAGAATTGTTAGATGTCTATAGACAATAGCAGACGACCGCAGTTGAGCAGCCGTCAATTTTTCATCGACAAGAAAAACTTATTTAAAAATCCAAGTTCAGATTTTTGTAGAGCGAAAAATTCTCTACCAAAATTAGTTTAGAATATTGCCTTTGAACAGTATTTTCTGTTCTACAATCTCTCAAGTTTTTCATTTTGCTTGACCTGTAATTCTCTTATAGTATTGCAGTTTGAGATGAAACTTTGATCATTTTATTGATGAATTGTGATCAACCATCATTAAAAATATCAACATCAGAAAACTTTTAGTTGATGAGAAAAAGGAAAAAAGTGTTAATGTGTCACGTGATAGTATAACGTGTATAATGCCTCAGAATTAAGGTCAAACGATATTTATTCAGTTCTTATCTTAGGTGTTAAAAAAGAATGTCTACGTATAAAACACACTATTTGTTTTATATAGTTGAGATTTATCGAACTTGGAGTCTTAATTGTATATCATGGTACGTAAACAAAGTTTATTCAACCTGGAATTTTGCAACCCTCTCGTATTTCTGCAGTTATTCGACGCAGATGCAGAAAAGCCATATTCAAGTATTCTCATGAGCTTTGAACAATTCTCATACATCTAGACAATAGTAATAGTGGTAGTTGAAAAAATCTATTCGATTTTTTTTCCGTTTCATATAGTTCACTCAATGACTCATCAAACAAAGTTAAATATTAGAATTCATTTTGTATATTTCGCAGTTATATGAGTTATGCTACATGTGCAATATGAAACGATTGTTATGTAACTATTATTTATTCATCTCATATTTTGATAATGAACATAATTCGAAGTTTTATTATGTTATTTAACCTGGATTATGTTAATTATTCATTCATTTCTATTTTTATTTATTGATCAGATAACAAATCATGTGGTATGTTGTTTTAAAATAATTAATTCATACTCTATAGAAGGATTTCTCATTTATCCATAATACAGAGTACTGTAAATCGACCTACATCTAAATATAGGTACTGATAGAGATATAAGATATACACATATGAGTGTGACAATTAATATTTGTGCGATGTTGTAGAAATTGCATAGAAAAATCTCGAAGACAGTTATCGATATTTGATACGTCGGACGTATTTTCTATTTCTATTTGATGATTGTTTTAAACCTATTGTTGAATTTTTTTTTCTAAACCAACATAAAGAAAATGATGCATGTACATTTCGAACTACCGGTACAAGTATAAATGTTATAAATACGAACTTGACCAATGCGGATACGAAAAAATGTATCCATGTAGTGGTCTATCCTATAAAAAAATAATTAAATTTATCCATTTTAAACTAGTTTCATATGTTCAAGAAATAAATCAATCAACATATTACATCGATGAATATTACGATCGTGTCTCTCCGCATACAATACAGAGAAATACGATCATAATACGAAACCCTATAATATACCAAAATACGACTGCATACAGTAGAACATGGAGTGTATATGGATTTCGTATACTTCGTTCTAGATATTATTCCTCTATTAACTTGAATCATAATGTATAAGTGTCCCTTTTTTCTAATCTTATGTAGTCATTCATATCGTAACTTTCAGATGATTATGTTTGCCATAGATACCAACTGGCAACTATGTTACAGAGAGACACAATGGAATTCTTGTTTCTAGATCGTATTGTTACAGTCTATAGATTATAATGGTGATGCTCTGTTTTCCATAAAAGATGTATGTAATTTTAAAACAAATAACCTTTATAAAAGATGCGCACGTTTGTTATCGACGTAATTACTTGTAAAAGATTTAGTTGAATGCATATATCATGTTATTCATTATATTTTAATGGTTGATTAACTCTTGTTTTTTTTGAATCAATTTTATTCATTATGCGTGATGAATGGAAAAAACTTTTGTTTGATGAAATATAGAAAAAAAAAAAGAAAAAGAAAATGTCGGAAGTAAACTCTTTGATCTATGTAGCGCTTATTTCCTGAGTAATAACCGACAAAGTTGATAACGAAATATAATTGTAAAAGTTTTTCTAGATATATTGAATAGTACAATCTCTTGAACGACATTAAAATTTCCTTGTTTACAAAAAAGAGTACGATCAATATATTCCGTTCATTTATTAATTATTCGATCTAAAGTTTTATGTCTCACTTGAAAAATATGCAAAAGTAAACTATTCTTCAACAAGTTTTTTACCATTAGAGAAAAATTACAATACAAAATATTTATTCGAAGATAACATTAATAAATCTTGACACAAGCAATCGATAATAAAGATTTTTATATTAACATCATATTTGTAGAGAACATAAACTTAATTAAAGGATGTTATATTCGTTTTACTAGTTGATCAGAATTTCTTATCAATTCTTTAACAGAAAGAAAGATTTTTGTAATAATCAATTACATAAAAACAAATTTATGACATAATCCTTCGTTGTTATGACAATTCTTGTTAATATTAATTTGATTTATTATTCAAAAAATCTATAATGATCTTCTATATATATAGTTTGGTTATTCTATTATAAATTGCCAAGGAAAATAATGTTATATATTATGAAAATATTTAAAACATGATAATATTAACTTTTTTTATAAAAATATTTTTCTAAATAGAGAAATCTGATATATGCATAGAATGTCAAAATCGATCCAATCATTAGTCATACTATTTTAAATATTCATATTAATAATTTATTTTTTATCCATTGATTATAAACAAATATACATAAATCTCAATTTTTTTTTCTCGAAATAATTTATAAGATTTCGAAAGAGTTATACTCTCAAATTATAACAGCATAACACGTTTCGATTTTCTTTTTTTTTTGTCTTTTTATTTGCAATCATTTGAAAAATAATTATTTAGTAAATATTTAATCAATTGAAGTTGACTCGACCTCATGCAGCATTTTTTTTTTATAGTCATATACTAACACAAATATTGTTTTATTAAAAGAAAAAAAAGTAATTTACATACTTTAGAGTTTGACATCTTGCTATTATTTACATATGAAAAAAAGATTAGATACTCTATATAAATTAACACATTTCCTATGTTTAAAAGGCATAACAATATGCATTCATTACTGTTCAGATTTATTTTTTAGAACACATTTTTTAATAAATCATAGATGGCAAATGTAGGTCAACATATTCCGAAGGACGGAGTACGGATAATGTTTTTTGCTGTATATACAGATAAGACAATATCCAGCAATTACAAAGAAATTCTAATCGTCACTATTTCAATAATGGGCAATCGGTATTTATTTAGATTCAAAATAATATTCAAGCATATTACCAGACTGCATTTCATCTTGATTTCTTTTTTTAGTTAAATCTAATCAATTTAAAATAGCGTTGATATCACCGAGAATTTCGATGTTTATTCCATTTGCATAGGTATAAACTCGATTGTATTATTGTCAAATGAACTTGTCTTGAATTAAATTCGAGTGATAAACAACAATTGATATATATATATTTATTAGAACTTTTTGAAATTGAATTAATTTTTCTTAATTGATTTCTATACATATATAAAATAACTTATAAAATGATTTTATTTTGAACTAATCGATCTACACTCTTATTGTTCAGTGTAACTTCAAGTTGAATCATTCAAAGACAAACTATTCCTTTTCCTTATCTTATCATACTCCTTATAAAGTATGATTCTTAATCTTTCTTATATAGCAATAAAAGTTCATTGAATAGAATAAGTCGTATGTCAATCGTAAAATTATTGAAAATGTTAATATAAATCTATCAATGATAAATATAAACAATTCAATATTTAAATAGTAATCATTTATGACATAAACTTATTCATATTGAAAATTTTGTTATTTGCATGACAAAAACAAATGATTCATCAAATGAAACGATCAATCCTATACGAAAACAAAAAAGAAAAAAAAGTAGAATAATGATAAAGATTTTATTAACTATATCTAAATCAATTATGAATTTTTGATAAACAAAATAATATAACGAAAAAACATATTCAATAAATCAAAATAAACTGAACGCAATGATTTCAATTCTATAATAAAATGAAATAATTTTTTTGCAAAGAATATTTTGTCCTCAAATGTTGTCGTATTTAATAATCACTGAATATCAATCGTAAATTCAACTTTTTGAAGTCGATCATTAACTAAATATAAAATCTCTCATGAATCATTTTCTTTGATTTCAAGAATCTAAATATTTACAAATTTAAGGTTAAATACTCTTTTCATATTGTTTGGATATTTTAAAAATTTGAATCTACTTGACAAACAAAGAAAAATAATTGTTTATTATTTATTTAATAATAAGATGAAACAAAAAAAAGAAAACTCTATGAGAACCTTTTTATAATCGATAATTATTTGTATTAATCGAACTATTGAATAAAAAAATCTTTAAGGAAATGTTTCTGATCGATCGATATTGAATGATGTATGTTAAGAAATATATCGATGTAAAAAAGAAAGCTTCATTTTTTTTTAAGGGATTTTTTCATTAAAAAAAAATTTTATTTTTAGTTTTCAATATGAGAAATAGTGTAAAACATGAAAAATATTTGAAATAAAAATATGGAAAATATTTTTGAAAAAATTTTTTAAAATAAAATTTTCTTTAAAATCCATGTTGTTCGTTCCTATTGACATTATTTCAATAAAAATGTTTGATTTTATATTTTAAATTAATTTAAATTTCATACGAAATGAAAGAGGAAATTTTGTTCTATCATTTTATATTAAATTTATTTGATTTTTAAAAAAATTTCTATAAAAATTTTTCAAATTATTCTAGAAATCTCCTTAATTCATTGATGTTTTTTCCACTTTTATCATAAAAAACATTATGAAAATAATTTAAAATATAAAATTTTTTTATATAATCTTATAGAAAAAATAGTTTTCTATCGAATGATATATTATATATAAAAAATTTCAAAAAAAATCTATAAAGAAAACTTAAATTATTCATATGGATTCGAATATATTTGAAAAAGAAAAAGGAAAAATTGAATATATCGTTGAGAACATTTACATAGACGAACGAAAGGAAAGAAAAAGGATGAAAACAAAGCACGACCCAAGTGAGAGTCGATACCATCGATGTATAAATAATCGTGCACAACTGTCATTAACTTCATATAACAACAAGCGCAAATAACAGCGTTCAGGTAAGTCGAATAAAAAAATATTTTCTTATTATTTAACTAATTCAATTTAAATAAATTAGAGTTTCATCTCGCTCACTCTTCATTTTACACAAACCAATTTTTCTTTATTAACCCAACAGTTCTCATCAGGTAACAAGTTAACGAAAGAAAAAATAGAAAAAAATAAAATTTTTTTTTTTTTTTTGTTTAAATAGAACTTATCATCAAAAATGACCGAAGGTACAGTTGCTCAAGTTTCATCAGTTCAAAGTGTTCAAAATGCAAATGTTTCACCTAAAAAACAACAAAAAAAAACAACAACAACAAAAGGCAAATCAACACACGTTGCAACACATCCAAAATATTCGGAAATGATTAAAGCAGCATTAAAAGCTTTAAATGATCGTGGTGGAAGTTCACGTGCTGCTATACTTAAATTTGTTTTGGCTAATTATTCACTTGATCCAACACAAGCTAATCAACATCTTAAATTAGCACTTAAAAATGGTGTTAAAGCTAAATATTTTAAACAAACAAAAGGTAATGGTGCAAGTGGTTCATTTAAATTAGCAGCTAACGGTGAAGCTAAACCAACAAAAAAGAAATCAACTAAACCAAAAAAAACAACATCATCAAATACATCGGCAACAAAAAAACGTGCTCGTTCAAAATCAGCTGGAACGAAATCAGCTAAAAAGGTCGCTACAACTGCTGATACAAATACTTCAACTGTTGCTACAACAAATCCAACTGCTGCTAAACCAAAAACAGTTCGAGTTGCTAAACCAAAAACAAGTGCAACAGCTAGATCAGCTAATGCAGTTAAACCAAAACAAGCAGCACAAAGTAATTCTTAGATTTATTTTTGTTTTTTAATAATTTTTTTATTTTAGCAAAAACAAAAAAATCAACTGGAACTAGAACAGCTGGTGTAAAAAAGGCTACAACAGCTAAAAAAACTGCTCCATCAAAAGTTAAAAAGGCAACTACAACAAGAAAATCAACAACAGCAACAAAAAAACCAGTTGCTGCTAAAAAGGTATCAAAACCAAAAACAACCAAAAAAGCTCCAGCAAAAAAAGCAAACAAATAAATTATCAATTAAATTCAAAAACATTTATTACATGTAGTTTGTAGTTGTCTGATATTTTCTATATATATATATATATACATATATGTTATTATCAATGATATTCATTGGCATAAAAAAAAGAATTATTTTGCGACCATAGATTTGTGTGTGTGTGAGTGTGTCTATTGTTAAACATTGTAAAAAAAAAAAAAAGTAAAAGATTTGTGTGTTGAGTGAGATAAAAAAAAGATGAGTAGTTTAGAGGATTTGTTTTTTCGAAATAAATAAACATTTAAACATTAAACATTTTATCTTTTTTTATTAAACTGAAATAATCTTGGGATATGAACGAGTTTGGAAAGAAAATATTCGAGTCGGAGGACATTTTGTTTACTTTGTTACATATGCGTAGATATTTGTTTTATGAATGTGTGCACTAAAATAGGCTCATATATAATAGATGTCTAGATCTATTTGATGATAAAGTTTGACTTTTCTGCCTGTTATTATTATAGAGTTAAAATTCAATTGAAAATTTTTGAATCATATTTAGGATAAGTGATGGAAAGATTCAATTAAAATTTATGAGTCAATGGTTTCAGGCGAGTTCAAAACTGATTTTTATTTTTCATCGATATCAATCACTCTCTCTATATAGGTGACTAAAAAAAAAAAGACTGAAAATTTCAACTATAGATTGACTCTTGTTTTGTTGTTGTTCATTCTTCCATCCGTCTTTTCTCAATAGAATAAAAATTTTCGTTTAGTTGAATAGAGCATGACTTTATATTCTATGGATTCGAAATGATTTCTACTCAATTAGAGAATTAAAAGAGAACAAAAATAATACTCGAAACTGACTTCATGTCTTCTCTATTAACCTTTCGATTTCAATAATTTTTTTTGCCTTTAGATACTACTTAATGTTCTTATAAAAAGCCTTAAATGATTTGGCATCTGAACTAAGCTATTTTTGGACCCTGACCCGGTGCATAAAATGTTTTTAGACCCGAGCCAGACCGATCAAAATTGTTGGATTCAAACTGAATTGGTTGATCTTTTGTGAGTAGAATCCATCGGGTAAAAAAAAATCAATAAGAATCCATAATCCTTTTAGGATATTGATTAGAACATTATATAATATTTATGGGTAGCTGAGGGTATTCCCTTGTGAGTCTCGAGTTCGGATCCTCAATTCTTTTTTCTTTCATAATTCGTTAGAATTCCTTAGTCTTAATATTTATCCTTTTATAAAATACTGGTGTGAACTTATCGACTAAATTTTAATAACGAAAAATCAAATAGAAAATGATTTTTTTTTCAAAGATTGTATCTTTTGAAAAATGCTCAATGAATGGCGGTGATTGCTGAGAAATGTTTGAAATATTTAAATTGCTGTCGATGGTACATAAAAAATAGATGTAGAGTTTTGAATTTTTTTTGGTCTCGAAGAATTGTTTTCTTGAATATTTGTTTTATCGAGACATCGAAGGACATTTTAAATATGAATAAATGAAAATTGATTTTCTATTTCGATTTATAATAACAGCTTGATTGTTTTAATATTTTATTTATCTTGATTATTTATCGTCAAAGATAAATCTTGTTCTTCATTTTTAATTTGTTTTGTTTTGTTGAATCGTTTTTTCGATGAATTAATATTATTAGAAAAAATTTGAAGTGGTATAGATGATGAAACTTGAACATCGAATAAAGTTTGACAAAGATTTAATTGATTATCATTTAAATTTGATTTCTATTCAAGAGAATTTTTTCATATAGAAATAAGAAATAAATAAAAATAATTTACTCGTTTTCGATGAATTCCATTAAAATATTTTTCAATCTAAACAATAAAAATAAATTTAAGAATTAAATATCGCTTTTTTTGTTTACTCTTGAATAATCAATTATTTGTAAATAAAATTTTAATTGTGAATTCGTTATTAAATTGTCAATTGGAACAAGAGACATAATTGAATCAATATCTATATATTGAATTAAAATACAAAAAATAAAAAATAAAAATTTTTGCTTTTTTTTACCGTTTATATTTCGTGCAGTTACTCGACTATTTGGTTCACCAAATGGTTGTGTTGAAATTATTCGACAATCACTTTGTAAATCGTAAAAACGTAATTTTAAATTTTGATTTTTATCATTTGAAAATGATTTATTATTAACAAAAATTAGACTAAAACGAAACAAAAACAAATTGATCAAAGTATTTATCAGAAATGTTAATGCTGATGGCGTCGCAGCAGCGGCAGATTCTCAGACGCGATGAACATCTATCATTTATAATTAGAACAAATTTACGTTTATCATACGAAGATATAAAGTGTTGATAGACTGTCGGAGTTTTCTTTTTAATCGGTTCTTGAATGATATTTGTTAATAGCTTATTCAATGATTCAAAGATCATATTTTCTAATTAACCATATTATATTGAATTATGTATGTCAATAGTCACGTTATTGTCCTTATTATAAAGCTGCTGAGTTAGTATGAAATGATATAAAACACAAAATTTGAAAGAAGAATTCAAAAGTTACAACGTGAATAAGAAAATACGATTGATAAAGCATAATGGATGATATAGCGATTCCCAGGGATATTATTCTTTGTGTTCTCTGCGCTTCCCTGCCTCTAGTTCTCAGTTAAATCTTTGTCAATTTGATAATCTTCTATTGACTGTGATCGTCTCTACCGATTATTGTTCTCTTTATCCAAATGTAGCTTTTTTTTCTGTTCAATGCAGTTTTTCTTCCTGAATATCGTTTCTTCAATTGAAAGTTGTTCCTCAATAAATTGTGCTATTTTCGCGTTGTTTTCTCGCAAATATAAGTATACAGAGAACTATACATACGTAAAAAAAAAACAAGAAAACCCTTTTGAAAAACTTCAGATTAAAAGATAATACTAAATTTTTAGAGAAGACTTTCATTTTCGAACTTATTATTGTCGAATTGAATTGTTTTCAATATGCTATTATAATATTACTACAATAGAGTGTATATTAAATTATTAAATTTTTTTTTCTACTATTCTTAAACGTTTTAAATTTCTCAAAGTTTATTGTTTAATTTCAAAAACACAATCTAATAGTGAGGGAGCTAAAAAAAGAAGCTCAAATGATGTGTTAACACTTTGTATCTTCATAATAAATATTGATTTATATTATAAGTGTCTACTGTTGTACTTTTCATATAAAGGGTGTTTTATAAGTTGCGACTCTATTTTTATTTTTTTCTATCTTTGATATATTCAATGGTGAAGAAATATTGAGCATGTATACATAACAAGAGTAACATTTACGCTATGAATCAAAAGTATTGCAGTGAGTTTACACACCAACTCTAATCAGAGAATCGCCCGAAGCGATTCATCGCTTTGTGACTCCATATTTTGTCCATAAGTAGGGGACCTGTAGACTAGATAAAGCCTAAGAGGATATGGACCAGGCTTCGAAATCAGGCCATTTTTTTATGGTTCGGTCCGGGCCGGCTCGAGCCTGAAGAAAATTTCGTTTACAAACATTTTTTTTTACTCAATGGAGAGCTATTGCATATTTTTCGTCTTTTAGAAAAAAGTGATAACCCGGGGAGGGATAGCATGGAAACTCTTCCCTATTCCCTCAGGGGCGAGTCAAATGTCAAAAAAACTGATGTCAGAAAAAGATAAAATCGTCGAGCTGAATAGGCCGACCCAATAGTGTTGTCGGCCCAGCCTGACAAAATATTTGGTTGGACTGGATGGTCCGTTTCGAGACCTGATATGGACCTATGTTGCGATTTGGGTGAGATATAGAGGGTTTACGGAAAAATCTCAGCCAAATTGCAATATGAGCCCATATCCTCTTATACTTTTTTTTTAATCTACAGGTCTCTTAGTTATGGGCAAAATAGGAAGTCACAAAGCGATGAATCATTTCGAACGATTTCCTCGTAAGAGAGAAATACGTCGATAAAAATTTTTGTAAAACCATTTTTTTATTCTTTCTCTATCAAGGTGAGAGTAAAAGGCAACCATTCTTATTCATTCATTCGCTACGAGTCACTTCTATCGTTCTATTCTTATGATACGCTGTTCAAGTGAAAGAAAATTCAAGTGTTGTCACAGACGAGAATAATTCCCAAATCTACACTTGTGAAATATGCACACGAGTTCGAATTTTCTCTTACCTGAATAGCGTACAATAAGAGCTAGACGTGAGCGGGTTCAAGTTGGCTTTAGTCCTGAATCTAGAGAGAGCGGTGTCATCTTGCCCGTATCTGATAAGAAGAGAATGACAGAAATAACTCAAGGATTTTATCGTTGGTAGTATTGTTAAATAATTACTTTCCAGAATTGAGTATTGATCGAAAATTTTCATGAAAAAAATCTCCTTGAATTATCTGAAAAATATTTAAAAAAAAATGTTTAATAAATAAAATAATGAAAAGATGATTTAACTTGACAATCACTATAAGTTTTTCCAAACCATTTCATCCAAAAAGAAAATTCTTTTTCAAATAACTAAAACAAATAAATAAAATTTAAAAATAATAATTAAAAAATATTTAACTTTAGCTGAATGATATAAATTTAAATTATTTTCAATTCCAATTGATTTTTTACATGATAACATAGCAGCTATTTGTAATGGTAGATGACCATAAGCACAACCAAGATGAATAAATATATCATCAGATCGTAAAGAAAATTTTCGAAATAATTCATCAATTAATTCAAATGAATATTCATTTTGTATCTATGTTTAAAAAAATAAAATAAAATTTTATTTATTTTTTGTTCTTTTTCTATTTACTAATAATTGGTTATCTTTTTGAGAAGATAATTTTAAAATAAATTGAAGAAATTCACGAGTTAAACGTGAAGATATTTTCTGACGTTTAGAATGATTTCGTATTTGTAAATTATTTTTATTACGTGATAATATATCATTTACAATTTTATTATAAGCTTCTGCATATGCTTTTATCATTGTTAAACTATAGACATTAAAAAAAAACACCAAA